AGATCAATGGAAATGAATTGTGCAAGCACAACAAAAACATTACAGGATCTAGAAAAGAGTGGAAAGAAGTGCAGGCCTGCTCAACGCCGCAGTCAATTGCATCACATATGATCTCCCATTTACAAATAGACCTTTATCGCAAAGAATGAAGAAACGGAAGCTCAGCCGTGAAAAGTTTAGTTTGAGCCATTTAAAGACAAGTTCCGCGATCGCACCTCGTGAATAGTGGCGTTCAATTGGAAATCTGTAGTCGCCAAGTGAATCTGCAGTGAAGAAAAGAAAAAAAAGTCGTGGAAGCACCTGAGCAAGGACCTCCTGACACTCTCACTGTATGAGTTTTCAGGAACTACTCGTTTTATGCCAGCAGAGACTGCCGCCGCCTTTGTTACTTGCTGTGAAGCCATGAACAAGGGATAATCTTGGGGACTACAGACTAGACTGCTTGAACAGTGAAGGACGCCCACAAGCCGGCTGAAGCCGGGCTTGTCTTTAAAGTAATCAGGAGTCTCCAGGGCCAAGAAAAATTGTTGGAAGAGAGAAGCAATTGGAAAACTGAAAAGAATTGGGATTTGGCAGCAAAAAGCAAGCTCAGCTTCCGTTTCGCATGTGCCTTGGGCGGAAGCTGAGTAAACGCTTAGTTTTCCCTCTGAGTGAAGCATGGGTGAAGAATCGTTAGGGTTCAAGAAGCGACACCTTGCACCCCCATTGGCAGCGTTGTACCTCCCACAACAATGAAGTTCCTGCTTTTATAAGGTTTTCAACGTAGCTGCGGTTGGGAGTGTCAGTGTGAGTGTGTCACGCCGTCAAAGCTGTTCTCTGCCTTCTTGTTGAAGCGCGCATGCGACAAAAAGTGGTAAAAAACGAGTAATACGAATATACGGTAAGATATGATACGGTCATCATGTCAGTATCACACTCATACTGCCTGACACGCCCAGCTGTCCGCAGCGGATAGAGGATAGCACATAGCCATTCATCTGACGCGCATAGACATGCTGCCTGAGAAGTTATCTGAGGTTGCCCTCAGGTGGTTAGGTGATAAGTGCAGGCACTGACTGCCCTGAATTGGGGAACCTATAGAGCCCAAAGGTGACCTATCTCCTGTCGTTGTCGGTTGCCTCATAGTATTTCAGACGTGAGGCGAAATGAACTTAATTTTCTGTGATTTGAAGAAGATTGAACGGATTCAGGCAAAGTCCCTGACGCATCTAGTATTTGCGTTTTTCACGATGGAATCGGACGGACTAATTCATCTGCCGGGAGATGCGGCTCAGCATTTTAACCTCCTGATTTGCTTATGCGAATTAGCGGTAATAGCATAGGTGTGGAATTAGTCTCACAGAAAGGATCTGGCTCAAGGACTTTCCTAACCTGTTTCGCTATTTATACTTCGGTTTACTAACAAATGAATGTTCGTAATGAGTGCCATTCACATTAAGAAAGCACGCCAACATCCTCATCTGAAAGTCCTGTTTGCTGTTGGAGGCTGGGAGAACTCCCAGTACTTTTCGTTGCTCACAGCCGATCATCCTCGAAGGTTTGTGTCCCCAGTTTGCGTGGTTTGCTCAAATTGTTAGAGAAAGAAGAAATCTCTACCAGTTTTGCTGTTTCAGAACAGTTGTGATTAACAATATCATAGACATCATTTCGAAATACGGATTCGATGGGGTCGACTTGGACTGGGAGTATCCTGTGACAGGAGGAGCTGTTGAGGGCACTCCGGTAAGACCTTTGAGGCATATTTGAAATAAAAATTATTTGCCGATAGCAAGCTTGTTCGCCCTAGGGAAGGCATGTGCCACAAAGGTATTTTTCCACGCGCACGAAAGAGAGAACGTGTCATAGTTGCTCCGTGTTACAATAGGGGCCGTGCTCATCTTCAGGGTCTTTGGAGAGCCAGAATATCTGCAAAGGATCAGATACGAGACGGATTGCTGACTCCTAACAATTGGAGGCTGGGCAAAATCAATTCATATGAAGCTTTTTCTCCCATATGCCAGCTCTGCCCCACCTTTCAATATGGACAGTGCTTCTAGATGAGCGGGCAAAGGAAGGCAATGAGGGTGACATCCTTTTTCCGCGGAATCCACGTTTGGTATAGGATCGGATTCTGAAGGACGAACAATTTGCTGGTCGTTATTTTTTCCATTGTCGAAAATCCAGGTGTGCGACACCCTACCCTCAATTGACGGTATCGCACCGTCAATTGAGGGTAGGGTGTCGCACGTCTTATTATACTTTCTGATAACTGATCGGAATTGTAACACCCATCCTTTTCTGCAAGACGGATCTTGGGGAGGCAAGGGCGTAGATGCGAGAGGCGTGATAGTGGAGGGGTCGTAGTGTGAAAGAGCTCTATCTTAGCATCTCGATTGTATGGTGACGAGCTAATTGTGTGAAAAAAAGACCTTGTGCGCAATGGCTACTGGAAAGACATAAGTTTCTCGTCGCCGAGTGTAATCGCAATACACCGTTTGTGAACACCGCAGTTAATACCACTCCATGGTCCATAGGCTTGGTCTACGGGCCTGGTTGTCTGTAGTTGTGTAGAACAACATATCCTTCAGAACTGTTATCTTTTCCATCAGGCTGATCGGAGGAACTACGTGCATCTGATGAGGGAGCTGCGAAATAGATTCAAGGAACTCGAGGAGCAGCAAGGAAGAACCTCAGGATATCTTATTTCTTTCGCAGGAGCTGCAGGACATTGGGTTCTGAAACCTGGTACGTATTTACACCTACTACATATTATATACAAAAGGAAATATGAAATGAAAGAAAAAATGAGTGATATGACAAATGATATTATAATGATATGAGAGGAAAGTTTTGTGCTTTACAAAAACAGCACAAGTTTTTTTTTCGGAGGGCGTTAGTACTGGACGGCATGGCAACAAGAATCCCGATGGCCCTCGTAAAACGGTTGTGTAAGGGGTGACACATATATGAAGCACGGTTTTCCTGTTGGTTGAATAAATAAAATCAGCAAAGTGTTGCCCCTTCCAAAAGTCTGTTCCCTACAAAAACCGCAAGCATTCTCCTTCCCCCTTACAGATCACTTGTCAAAAAGTGAGGACACGGAATGCCCTGCATGATTCATTTTTTTCCAGGCTACGATCTTGTCCAGTTGATCAAATACGTTGATTTTGTTAACGTGATGTCATACGACTATTTCGGTGCATGGCAATCGAAATGGGGAGCGTTCACCGGTCCACCGGCACCGCTATTTTTTGCTACACCACCAAAGTACAGGGAGTCAGACGTGTTATATAGTCCCCGAGCAGTAAATCTATTCTTTAGATTCTCTGGCAGAATGAATGTG